TCCTGGGTTTGAATCTGGTCAAGGTCACATGCCTGGGTTGTGGGCTTGATCCCCAGTAGGGAGCATGCAGGAGGCAGCCAATCAATGATTCTTTCTCATCATTGATATTTCTCTCTCTCTCTCTGCCTCTCCCTTCCTCTCTGAAATCAATAAAAATAAAAATGTATTTTTTAAAAAGACTAAAAGTGTGATAAGAGAAAATATTTACTATTAGCACTAATTTCAGATTTGGAAGTATCCTCAAGTTCTACTATGTGGTAAACTCTATACTGTCTCTTAGAAGTTCATCATTTCCTCCTCCACCGATATCTTCTTAGCACCTAACTCTGCCTATTCATATTATGTTTGTTGCATTTCTTTATGTTTGTTTTCTCTAGATTACAAACACTATTTTAAGGTCAAGGATAAGTGTTAGAAATTATTTTATCTTTGCAGCATACTCATTAGTCTATGCATAGCAGTTGCTTGATGAATATTTATTATTTCACAGCCCTATGATTATTCTAATTAAAATAAGGGGTTCTTATTAAATGATAATTACATAGTTAATTATGGGGAAATATGGGAAAAGGACTATATACCTGATGTAAATTAAGTAAAATTACTTAAGTCAAGAGTATGAGTCTATTAAATCCCATCAGAAACAGTGACAGATATAGTAATTTATTTTACAGCATTATTATCATATTTAGCCATTAACATTAATTATAAAGTGGGGCAAATTTTAATTTTGATTTCCAAAGAGAAAATGCTTTTAGTTTATAGACAAACCATAGACGAAGCTGTGACGTGCAGTATCTCACAGTTCATTTCATCCATGCCTGCAGTGGGCAGGCCATACATGGCGTAAGGTTAAACACTCCAGTTGGGATTTATAGAGGCCTAGCAGGCTACTTCCAATGCCACCCAGTCCTCAAGAAGGAAAGGGGCCATGTCCTGGCTGGACAGGCACCCAGACCCCCACTCCCCGCCCCCCTCATCCCCTGTTCCTTTAAGCCTAGGCTGGAACTTAATGAGGAAGTCAGGTTTGGGTAAAGCTCAGTCATGCTCTAATGGCTACCTGAAACTTTCCAAAGGCCCTCAATAAATATTGGTGGTTGGCTGGCTTTGTCATCTGACTTTTCATCCCAGAGTAATTGTTGAAAAAGAAAGTTGGCTGAGATTTACAGCTACCTCTTCTCACTAGGTGGGTGGTTGGGCTCGGGAAGGAATGAGAACCATCCCATTGACACAGGAGAAACTGTTCCCCAGCCAACACAGTGAAGGAAATAGTGGTTTAGAAAGAATCTTAAAAATCACTCAAAGATGATTACAGGCTGTCACTGAGAAATGAGGAAGGAAGGGCTTTCTTTTCGACTACAGGGTGCATAGCTCCACCATCAGAAATTATTATTTTATATGTAGGCCAATGGTAGTCTGTGTGCCTTTGAAAAGTAAAGAGCAATAATAACTTAAGTACCTGGTATGACTCACAGAGCATCCAGGTAGATTACACAGGCCATATATGAAAACTGGGCTTCTTACTTTATAACATCTTGCATGTTTCTAGAGTCACTGCTAGGAAACAGTCCCCGAGTGCCTACTCTACAAAGGACACTGGGCATGGGGATTGAGAGAGCATCAAGCCACAAAGCTCTAGCTGGGCTCACCCTTTAGCTCAGGAGGGAGGATGGAGGGTGGTGGCGGGGGTAGGTGTATAGTGCATGCTGCATATGCAAAGCTGCAATGAGTGACACAGCCCTCTTCCTGGTGTTCACAGGGCTCCACTGAAGGAGAACAGAATTTCCCCAAGTGCCCACGCACTGAAATGAACCTCCTCCCTCAACAAAGCAGGTAACTTAGCTGCAATTTAAATTGGCAAAGGTGTGCTGTTGACTAGCTATTGAGAAAGTGGGTGGGGAAATCATCTCCAGCAAACATATCCTTGGATAACTTTCAAGTCCTAATCCCCAGGGTTCATCTTGCATTCCTCGTCCTTCCTCTCATGCCCTTCACACCTTTAGGAATAAATAGTCAAAGCACAGTGAGAGCACCTTGCAGTGTGCTGAACGGCGGGGTGCCCATTTGGAAATACATGCACCCTGACGTTATTTGGGCAGAACTGGCAAAAATATAGTTACATTTTATATTTAAGGATGAAAACGGTGAGTCACCCAAATCCACCTCTGCCTTCAGTTTCCCTGCTCCAGTGAGGTCTAAGGGGGCTTCTTGGGTTGTGGCAGCTTCTCTTCAGTTTGCCTGCTCCTAGTTCCTGGGCCCAGGACTGAGAGAGAATAACAAGGTCGATGGGGCCAAGCTCATGATTGAAAAGACTTGTCTCAGTCACACTGCTTAGCAGCTGGGCTACTCTGGTCACCCTCAATAAGAAACATCCCCGGATACTCACTAAAGGCAGGAACCAGGCATTGTCAGGTCTCCCGGACGCCTGACATGTCACAGTGAACTATTTATATTACTTAACACACCTACTCCAGATATTTAGTGGTTCTATGGGGTGTGAAACAATTGTAACTATACATTTTTATGTCAAAAGTAGAGGCCCGGTGCATGGATTCGTGCACTGGTGGGGTCCCTCGGCCTGGCCTGTGGGGATCGGGCTGAAACCGGCTCTCTGACATCCCCCAAGGGGTCCTGGATTGCGAGAGGGTGCAGGCCTGGCTGTGGGACCCCACCGGTGCACAACTGGGGCTGGGGAGGGACTGCAGGAGGGTTCCAGGGCATGTGCGGCTCGTCTCCTCCAGTCCCGATCGGCCAGACCCCAGCAGCAAGCTAACCTACCGGTCAGAGCGTCTGCTCCCTGGTGGTCAGTACACGTCATAGCGACTGGGCGACCGGTTGAATGAACGTTCAGACACTTAGCATATTAGGCTTTTATTATATAGGATAAGATATCACTGCCCAGAGAATCAAGAAATGAAGCATAAAGACCATCTAGCTTTTTATTTCAAATCTCTTTCCTGATACTTAAGAGTAAAACCTTAAAAACCATTCATTTGTCCATCTCAAGATAAATTTGTTGAATAATTACTCTTTGCCAGGACCTGGACTAGGCATTAAAGATATAAAGTTTTTTTTAAAGAAGATTAATCTATAGCCCTTGCTACTAAAGAACTAACTGAAAATCAATACCTTCCTAAGAGTCTCTTCATGCTTTAAAGAACTTAAATATAAAAATGCCACTAGACTGAAAAATACCCAAAGATTCCTTCATGGTCAGGTTAGAAATTAAGGTATATTTAAGGGAAAGAGAATGAGATACAAAGGAATTAAAACCTACCATTCCATAAAAAGAAATGAAATTCTGATACATGCTATGGATGATCTTGAAAACATTATGCCAAGTGAAATAAGCCAGACACAAAAGCCATAAAGACAAATATGGTATGATTAGATTTATATAAAATATCTGGAATAGACAAATTCATGGTGATAGAGAATAGAATTAGAGGTTACTAAAGGTGGGAGGTGGGGAGAATAGGGTCTGCTGCTTAATGGGTACAGAATTTCTGTTTGGGGGGGGGGTGATAAAAACTCTCTTGAAATAGATAGTGGTAACAGTTACACAAAATTGTGAATGTGATTAATACAACTGAATTATACACTAAAAGTGGTTAAAATATCATTTTTAATATTATATATATTTTACCACAACGTTAAAAAGCAATAACGTAATATCCCAAAGCCCATTGAATTGTACCCTTAAATGGGTGAACTGTGCAGCATGTAAATTATATCTCAAAAAAGCTGTGTGGGTTTTTTTTTTTTTTAAAAAAAGACCATTCTTTACATGTTAACATATTACTCTGTCATCTTGTAAAGCTCTTAATATTCTTAAATAAATTGACCGGGAGCAGAAGCAGGTGATCAATGTTTGAAATACTATGATTCACATTCCTTACTAAATGCCTAGGTTTTACAAATCATTGCTAATCCTTTGGGCAGTTTAGAACACAGAAGAGCCCTCTGTCTTTTGGATATCTGGCTAAATAACTAATTGACAACCTTGCAATGACTAAATAACAGACCATTTAAAAAAGAATCTCTTGATTTGACTCTTCTTGAATACAGCCAGCCAGAAAAGTGTGGTTGAAATCAGTCAGAACCAAGCAAATGACAACCTTCCATTTTTACACCTCTCAGTCGTAGGTCAGCTATAGATCAGAGGGTGGCAGTATCTAGAAAAATGCCAGGCACACATGGGCTTTCGAGACATAGTCATTGAACTGAAAGAACAGCTGCATCTACTGCTTCGGGAACTGGCAGGGCCCCTGGTCAGATAAAAGCACTTTGAGGGGGTGGCCGGCCAGCCCAGAGAGCCCCTGGGAGCTGGTTACTTGTGGGCTCATACCTGCTTTCTCTGCGCGTCCCTCAGAGGTCAGTCGGCAGCTAGACCAAAGAGTGCCCTTCTAAATAAGTATCACTAAGAAGTCCAGGTCTAGACGGAACAGAATGAGGTCAGCTATTTCAGAAGCATTTCATGCCGGTGAACATATATTTCAGAAAAGGCCATCATAACCTTTTGAACTTAGCGAATAGGTGAGCCACTCCTGTTGCCTCGAAACAATAGTAACAAAACAAAAAATAAAAATAATAAGTGGGGAAACCCAGAAGTGAACTACTTTTACATTTCCCATCCCAGAGGTAATAAAGTAATATGATTTAGATAGAATTTGCTGCCAAAAGCCAGTAAACCTTTTCTATCCTACTAGTCAAATACAAATAACAGGGAACAAGGATTATATATTTTTTAAAAAGCATTTGAAAGAAAATAAGGTGGGAATAATAATCTTTTACTGTGTGGCTACTGAAGGTGCCTGTTTTTGACTAGACAAAGGGAAATTAAACCTCCCACAAGTGAGTTAGCCATCAAACATGGTCAGAAAAATAGACTCTAGAATGTCAATTCTAGTTGCAGTGGGGAGAAAGCTCATGAGCTCATTGTCACCTTCCTAGACCCTTAAAACAAATCACATAGTCATAGCAAAATGTCCCAAACATACCCTGGGTCCGAATCCCGTCCTGGCTCTGCGGGATGAGAAGCCTGGATCCAGCCCTTCGAGGAGAGCTTCGATTCCTCCATCCTCGGACCAGGGCCCCCACCATGGTTGTTGACAGCATGCTCCCCAGGCAGCTGTGGCCTGGGAGTGGGAGGACGGCTGTCAGGCTGCCACCTCAGGAGAATCCTGTCCACCTGGGATGAGGTGCTACACCCAAGGCAGACAGGTCTGGGCAGTTCCGCCCGCCTCCATCCTCCACCCACACACTCATCCATCTCATGTTCGCCTCCCTCGGGAGGCCCGGGAAAGTGTGGCCAATGAGACAAGCAAAAGCAGACAACAAGCAGCAAAAATCAAAATGAAGATATGAATAGAGTCATTCAATAGCAGAGGATGGTCAATGTTACAGCAGTGCCAATCGCCTCCTATGAGAGCTTCTTTTGTGTGTTTGTTTTTGATTCGTTCCCTGTCACTTAAGAAGTTAAGTCCAATTTTTCAACCTTTAAAAATGACTGTATGTGGGTGGTCCACACACCTATGCACCTATTTCCTCTCCTGAATAGGAAGAGCTTTCAGGCAGTTGTGTTTCCAAAGAGATCCATTCTTCTAGATAAACAGAATTTGTTTACAAAATATGAAAAGTATTTCTAACGTTCTGAGGGTTCCCTTCCCAGAATTATATCAGCTTTTGTGGATGAGAAAAGTTGACTAAGGGGATTAAATAAAAATTCACCATCATGTAAACTCCCAAAGGCTTTTAAAAAATGAATTGATTTCAATGGCCTAAGTCTTCTCTCTCCTGGTGTGGTAGCTGGAGTTACCACATGACTGAGTAGGTGGAACCTGAGCTTCATGTATACAGCACATTGCTCACACATGCCCCCTACTGGTCAAGATGCCAGGTGCATATGGGTTAGAGAGGCTTTAAGGCTGTCGGAGGGGCAAGGAGTTGAAAGTTCTAGAATCCCTTGGGTATCTCCACATGCTGCATTCATCCAGCCCGGGTGGTACTGAGATTGGATTAATTACGGACAGCCTAGGTTCTGATATTATGGATTGTCCTTAGGACTTTATGGATCATGCAAATAGAACGATCCATGCCCCATTTCACTCTTTCTCTCCCTTCCCCAGATACACCACATTTAATAAGATCAAGGTTGTTTTTGCAGGACAGGCAAATTCCCAAAACTACCCTGAACTGACAATAATTTTTCTCAGAAAGCTTACAGTTTACTAAAAAGCAGCAGTGTTTTGAGGAGACAGATTTTTACAGTCATTTAGTTGAAATTTCCCTCATTTGCTAATTATTTTGACATTTCCAAAATTTAAAAAAAACTTTAGTATCATTTCAGGTGGAGGGACAGTAGAAATGAAGGATGGGAATCTTAAATGGCATGAGAGCAGGAAGCTGCTGACTCTACCCCTGCACCCCAACATCAATGTACTGGGGACAGTGCAATCTTGGGGGCAGCATCTGATGAAAGACACAAATTCTGTTGCTCCCCGAGGTGTGCCTCTCCTTCCTCACTAACGTGGGGCTCCCTTTGCCATGGGCAGCGAGGGCAAAGGGCAAAGGAGCCTTCAACACTCTCAGTTCCTGTGACTCCTTCGCCGCCCCCCCCCCCGCCCCCCACACACACACCCTGAGTCACAAAGACGGACTGAACCTGCCTTCTGCTGGGGACAACCCTGTGGGTATAGGGTAGCATCTGGGGACAGGACCACAGGGGACCCAGGGCCTTTGCCTGGTCTTGGTTTGGAGGTGAGGGGTGAAGCAGGGATCTTGAGGATGGTCCAGGGTCCCCAGTCAGGGGGGCAGAATCAGGAGACTGATGGCTGGGGATGAGGCTGGGCAGGGATATCAGGAGAGGCCCTATTGGGACAACGGACACCAGCATCCTTGGAGCGAGGTGGCAGGGAGAACACAGTGATGCTGAAGGCAGAAGATGAGCCACGAGAACCAACCATAAACAACTCCTCACACTATCTCAGTGGGAGCCCTCCTTTGAGGCCTTGCTGCTGCCATGCAGCCGAGATCCCTATAAACAACAGACACCATCCCCACAGGGCGAGCCAGAGGTCCAGGGTGGGGGATATGGACTCTCGGACATTTCTGAAGCACAGCAAACTGCCCACACTCAGCTGTTATCAGCCACCGCGGTGATAAGGAAGCATGTGAGAAAGGTCACTGGAGCCAACTGATGCTTCCGATAAAATTCCCCAAGCCTCCTTCGTGTTCCCAGAGTCCCCTGGGCACACACCACAGCCCTGCTCAGCCGTCCACTCTCTTACATCTGTCCCACTCAACCAGCCATCCCCAAACCTCCCCGCACAGCAGAAACACTAAGTACAGATTCCGGGGCGCCTGCCGAAAGGACCGCTCTCCTAGGCCTCAGACAGCGCCAGGGAGCCTGCATTTCCTCCGGCTGCCAGCACCTTCCTTCATCGCCAGCCTGGGCTCCATCCAAGGGCCGTATGAAGAAACCAACTCACTCGACGGTGGGCTTCCTGCTGGCCTGCACCATCCCTGGGCCCAGCGCGGTGTGTAGCCAGCACACAGCATGTGGGGTGAAGAGAACCAACACCGTGGCCAGGCGTCCAGCAACATCCCCCCCTTGTCTCCACATCAGTCAGGCCGCCTGACACCTCAGCTTCCATGACATCCTGTGCTTCTTGCCACGACCCCCAACACCCCTTGGTGACAGGAGCCATCTCATGACATCACCCTGTCTTTTCTGCAGCCCAGACCCCTCAGAGCCCCCACTGTTCACTCGCCTGTGATGTTTGGGTCCAGAACATGACCTGTCAAGGCGGCCGTCTGCTGTCCCTTCACCTCCACAAAGAACGGCTTCATCTGGGCGTCAGGGGTCTCCGGTCCCCGATACTGTTGAGACGGGGTCTGTCCACGAACTCAAGGCTCAGCTTGCACAGCAGCCTCGGACACTTTGCCGCCCTGAGATTGCCGGTTGTGGCAGGTGGACACTCGGTGTCCAAGGTTTTCCCCAACAGGAAGCTGAGCAACGGCCGTGACTGCTCTGGGAAAGGCAGTCAGGAAGAGGAAGTGGAGTAATATCCTGCCCGTGTAGGTCAGCCCGCCCTTCCCAATGCTGCGCATGTACTTCCCGCCACAGACCCGCCACGGTGGCCCTGTGCCTGCACCAAGATGTCCCTGAAACAAGGGAAACGGCTCGGCCCTGAGAGCATGAGGTCACTCTCCCCAGCTCCGCCTGATTAGAACCCCCTCCCACTCGTGCAGAGGGACATGCTGAGGAAGGAAACGCACTTTCCCCTTAGACAGCACATCTAGAAACCCAGCACCAGCTGAAGGCTGCTTGAAGGCCAGTATGGCTCCCAAAAACTTAGTTCATAGATGTTTGCTTCCACTTTCCCACGGAGACTATGAGTGACCAACTGTTTTATCAATCTCATAAACACAAGTACTGTCCTCAAGGCAGTGTCTGAATTATAGTAATCTCCCCAACTAGTCTTTAATTCACTACACACACACACACACACACACACACACACACACACACACACACTAGAGGGCCTGGTGCACAAATTCATGTACAGGTGGGATCCCTAGGCCTGGCTGGTGATCAGGGCTGATTGGGGCTGGGCCAATCAGGGCCTGCCAGCTGGGGTGAGGGACGGGATGTGGGAGGTTAGCCGTTGGCCCGAGAGAGCCGGGCCTTGACCCCCCTGGGAAAGAGGCTGCATTTGCTGCCACTCACCCCCAGTTCCCAGCCCCCTGGCAGGATTGGGAAAGGAGGCAATGGTCACTGGGCTGGGTGCAGAAGAAATGGCCACCGGCTGCCAACGCTGCTGGCCGGCCATGGGAGGTTAGCTGTGGGAGCACACTGACCTCTAGGGGGCAGCTCCTGCATTGAGCATCTGCCCCCTGGTGGTCAGTGCATGTCATAGTGACTGGTCGACCAGTCGTTCTGGTCATTTGGTTATAAGGGCTGTTTAGGCTTTTATATATATAGATATAGTATAGTTAATCCTCACCCAAAGATATTTTTTCATTGATTTTTAGAGAGAGTGGAAAGGAGGAAGAGAGACAGAGAGTGAGAAACATGGATGTGAGAGAGACACATCAATTGGTTGCCTCCTGCACGCACTCCGACCAGGGCTGGGGATTGAGTCTGCAACTGAGGTACAGGCCCTTGACTGGAATTAAACCTGGGACCCTTCAGTCCACTGGCCAATGCTCTATCCACTGAGCCAAACTGGCTGGGGCACTCTGTGATATTGGTGAGGGTGGGGGGAATGTACTTTCTGCCCACATAAAATCCCCACAGCCTGGAATAATGCCTGGCACATAGTATATACTCACTGAGTACCTGTAGAATGAATGAATGAATGAATGAATGAACAACTGTTGTGCACTGGGGACTCTGGTATAATCAGGGTACATGGTATTTCTATTACAGCTGTTGTAATTTTTAAAAACATGCTATTGTTATAATTAGATATAATATCTATAAAGAAAGTGGCCCATAATTATACAATCATGCCCATGGGAAATATGATCTACTTTATCACACCAATTTTATTTAATGGATCCTTCAAAGAGAGCACTATGGTGAAGTGTGGGTTGCTGACATTTATCTCAAACTCAGATTTAAGATTTATATCTGCTATGCCCCTAGATTCCTATCTATATTGTTGAACACAGAGCCATAACGTTCAAGAAGTTTAACAAAGGACTGAACACCTCTTGCAGCTTAGCATTCATTGTAAGATTAGAACCTTGGTTAAAATGCATTAACAACTCTTAAACAACTTAAGAATGCAGCAACTCAAGTAAAGGCAACAGAGTCTTCTCATGTCCAACTCTGAATATAACTTCAAAAATCGTTTCCACATTTATTTTCTCCTCTACAAGACAAGGAAATCTTACATGAGCGTGGTACCTTCACTTACTTATGCAATTTAATAACAATTTGTTTAACACATTGGTTTTATGGAAAATTATTAATATTTTTGTCCTTTTTTCAGGCATTATCTATTTTTCTCAGAGATTTCTCTAAAACTATAAAATCAATGTTAACCTAATATGATAAGTCCCAGGTTTCCAAACCATATTTAAAAGGCACCTAGAAATGTTTAGTCTTTAATTCACATAATCATTCATTTACTCATGGATGGCTGGAA